GGGTGGAATTGAACGCAGGTCTCTAGTGCTGTGACGCAGCAGTGCTAACCTCTGAGCCACCGTGCTCAGGCAATGAGGGATTTACAGGAACTGGGGGGTGTGATGAATGGCAGTTGCAGGGAGGGAGATACACCCAAGATACAGTCAAGTAGATGGGTTACCACCAGGAAAGGTAGGAGAGGGAGGCAGTTGGTGCAGGAGTCTCCTGTAGCTATCCCCATCTCTAACAAGAATGGTCTTGTGGAAAATATAGAGGGTGATGGACTCTCAGTGGAATGGAGCACTGATGGCCAGGTTTCTGGTACCGAGACTGGCTCTAATGTAACAAGGGGTCCATCAGATTCCAAGCGATCGATTATGATTGGGGAATCTCTAGTCAGAGGCACAAACAGACGTTTCTGCGGCCAGAGAAGTTGGAATGATGTGTTGCCTCCACAGTGCCAGGATCAAGGATATCTTGGAGATGGTGCAGAATATTCTCAACGGGGAGAGGGACCAGCAGGAAGTCCTTGTACACATTGCAACTAACGACACAGGAAGAGAAAAGGCTGAGATTCTGAAGAGAGAATATAGGTAATTAGGCAGGAGTCTAAAAAGGAGGTCCTCGAGGGTGGTAATAGCTGGAATATCCCCCTGTGCTATGAGCTGGTGAGGGTAGGAATAGGAGGATAGAGCAGATGAATGCGTGGCTGAGGAGCTGGTGCAGGGAGAAGGATTGTCATTTTTGGATCATTAGAATCTCTTCTGGGGTAGAAATGACCTGTACAAGTAGGACAGATCCCACCTGAATTGGAAGGGGATTAATGTACTGGTGGGGAGATTTGCTAGAGCTGCTCGAGAGGATTTAAACTAGTAAGGCGGAGGTGTGGTGGGACCCAGGGAGATGGTGAGAAAAGAGATCAGTCTGAGACTGGTACAGTTGGGAAAAGGAGCAAGTCAAACAGTCAGGGCAGGCAGGAACAAAGCAGAGAACAAGGTAGGACTGATTAAATTTAAACTACACTTATTTCAATGCAAGAGGCCTAACAGGTAAGGCAGATGAACTCGGCATGGTAGGGAACATGGGATTAAGTTATCATAGCAATTACAGAGATGTGGCTCAGGAATGGACAGGACTGGCAGCTTTAATGTTCCAGGGTATAGATGCTATAGCAAGGATAGAAAGGGGGCCAAGAGAGGAGGGGGGAGTGGCATTTTTGATTAGGGATAACATTACGGCTGTACCTATGGAGGATATTATTTGGATAGAACTGAGAAATAAGAAAGAGATGATGACCTTATTGGGATTGTATTATAAGACTCCCTGCTCCCAATAGTAAGCGGGAAACTAAGAACCAAATTTGTAGGGACATGTCAGTTATCTATAAAAATAACAGGGTGGTTATGGTAGGGGATTTTAACTTTCCAAACATAGACTGGGACTGCCATAGTGTTAAGGGCTTGGATGGAGAGGATTTAAGTGTGTACAAGAAAATTTTCCAATTCAGTATGCAAATGTATCTATTAGAGAAACTGCAAGACCTGACCTACTCTTGGGAAATAAGGCAGGGCAGCTGACTGAGGTGTCATTGGGGGAGCGCTTTGGGGCCTGTAACCATAACTCTATTAGTTTTAAAATAGTGATGGAAAAGGATAGACCAGATCTAAAAGTTAATGTTCTAAATTGGAGGGAGGCCAATTTAGACGGTATTAGGCAAGATCTTTGAAAAGTTGATTGGCGGGGTGGATGTTCACAGGTAAAGGGATGGCTAGAAAATGGGAAGCCTTCAAAAATGAGACAACTGTTCCTGATAGGGTGAAGGGCAAGGCTGGTAGGTGTCGGGAAAGCTGGATGATGAGAGAAATTGAGGTTTTGGTCAAGAAAACAGAGAAAACATATGTCAGGTATAGACAGCAGGGATCGAGTAAATCCTAGAAGAGTATAAACGTAGTAGGAGTGTACTTAAGAGGGAAATCAGGAGGGCAAAAAAGGGTCATGACATAACTTTGGGGAGAATCCAAGGGTTTCTACAAATACATTTAAGGACTAAAGGGTAACTAGGGAGACAATACGACCCCTTAAAGATCAGCAAGGCTGCCTATGTGCAGAAATGCAGAAGATGGGGGAGATACTAAATGCGTATTTTGCATCACCCTTTAATGTGGAGAAGGATATAGAGGATACAGAACATGAGGAAATAAATAGCAACATCTTGAAAAATGTCCATATTACAAAGGAGGTGCTGAATGTCGTAAAACACATAAAAGTGAATAAATCTGTGGGACCTGTTCAGGTGTATGCTAGAACTCTGTGGGAAGCTAGGGAAGGGCCCTTGCTGAGATACTTGTATCATCGATAGCCACAGGTGAGGTGCTGGAAAACAGGAGGTTTGTTGACATGGTGTCACTATTTAAGAAAGGTGGTAAGGAAAAGCCAGGGAACTATAGACTAGTGAGCCCTACATCGGTGGTGGGCAAGTTGTGAAGGGAATCCTGAGGGACAAGATTTACGTGTATTTGGAAAGGCAAGGACTCATTTAGGGATAGTTAAAGTGGCTTTGCATGTGGGAAATCGTGTCTCACTAACTTGATTTGAGTTTTTTTTTGAAGAAGTAACAAAGAGGATTGATAAGAGCCGAGCGGTGAACGTGATATGTATGGACTTCAGTAAGGCGTTTGACAAGGTTCTTCAAGATAGACTGGTTCGCAAGGTTGGATCACATGGAATACAGGGACAACTGGCTATATGGATACAGAACTGGCTCGAAGGTAGAAGACAGAGGATGGTGATGGTGGAGAGTTGCTTTATAGACTGGAGGCCTGTGACCAGTGGTGTGCCACAAGGTTCAGTGCTGGGTCCACTGCTTTTTGTCATTTTATATAAATGATTTGAATGTGAACATAGGAGGTACGGTTAGTAAGCTTGCAGATAACACCAAAATCGAAGGTGTAGTGGACAGCGAAGAAGGTTACCTCAGAGTACAATGGGATTTTGATCAGATGGGTCAATGGGCTGAGGAGTGGCAGCTGGAGTTTAAGTTAGGTAACTGTGAGATGCTATATTTTGGAAAGGCAAATCAAGAAAGAATTTATACACTTAATGGTAAAATCCAGGGGAATGTTACTGAACAAAGAGACCTTGGAGTGCAGGTTCATAGTTCCTTGAAATTGGAGTCGCAGATAGATAGGATAGTGAAGAAAGTGTCTGTTATGCTTGCCTTTATTGGTCAGTCCATTGAGTACAGGATATCGGTTAGGCCACTTTTGGAATACTGCATGCAATTCTGATCTCCCTGGTGTAGGAAGGATGTTGTGAAACCTGAAAGGGTTCAGAAAATATTTACAAGGATGTTGCCAGGGTTGGAAGGTTTGAGCTATAGGGAGATGCTGAATTGAATGGGACTGTTTTCCCTGGAGCTGCGGGGTAACCATTAGAGAGGTTTATAAAATCATGAAGGGTATGGATAGGCTAAATAGACAAGGTATTTTCCCTGGAGAGGGGTAACTTTTTCACGCAGAGGGTGATACGTGTATGGAACAAACTGCCAGAGGAAGTGCTGGTGGACAGTAGTACAATTACAACATTTTAAAAGGTATCTGGATGGGTATATGAATAGGAAGAGTTTAAGGGATATGGGCCAAATGCTGGCAAATGGGACTACATTTATTTAGGATATCTGATCGGCATGGTCAAGTTGGACCAAAGGGTCTGTTTCTGTGCTGTACATCTCTCTGACTCTATGACCCTCTAATTGTAGTTAGAAGAAATAGATGAGCAGAAGCTGGAGTGAAGAATGAAGTGGATGGTGTCACATTGGAGCAAATCAATAAGTTTGTCTATTTTAAGACAAATGATACTAGAGGTAATGCAAAGGTTAGAAGGATAGAGATCGCCAGAAGGGATTTTTTTTTTTTTTTAAAGATGAAGGATGTTTTAACACCAACTCCAGCTTGTAATAAGGGACTGACTCAGAAGAAGGTAGGTTCTATTCATCTTTCTGTACGCCTCAGAAACCTGGACAATAGATAAAGATCCACGGAAGAAATCCACTTTTGAAATGTGGATGCTAAGATGTGCACTAAAAATTCCAAACACTGTCCATATGGCAAATGCAAGGACACTTACTATTGCAAGAACAAAAAGACCTCTACAAAAGTGACTTTCAGAAAATGTGGATCATTTGATCAGAGTTGAAAAGGCACGGAAAAGTACACTAACAGACAGAGGCATTGATTGAAGCATTGTTGGATGGGTAAGTGTTACACAATGATTACAGAAGAGCTACCGTGGAAATGTGAGGATGGGACAAGATAGATGGGTGTGACACAGCCGGTCTCCTGGCAGGAGTAACTACAAGCAGGAGCATATTGGGCAAAGGGGTTTATCTGTCAGAGAGATATTATGGGGCAGAGTATTTCAGGCTTGAGCTTTATTTTAGAGGCTATATTATGTTGGGCTAGAGTATACTGTGCAGAACTGGTACATCAAGTGATGGGGATACTGCTCAGAATGCACAATGAATGGCGGGCTTACATCAGGCAGACGTACCTCTTATTTTTCTATGCCTCCTGATGTGGACGTATTAGTACTGAGGTTAGAATAGGCTATTCAAAATATCTTTGTCACAAAAGCAAACATCAGTACATATCCTGTAATCCCACCCTCCTTAATTTGAGCTCGTGCACTATTTTCTAACAATTCCATTCTTGGTACCCCTGCCTAGCACCCACTTTAATCCCGACCCCCCCCACCCCCGCCTCTCAACTCCTCTATTGATCTTGCCCTGACCACCTCCCTATTCCAATCCAACTCTCTCCTATTTCTTCTCTATCCAACACTTGTGCTGCCCTGATCCTATCCTCTTCCTGCCTGGCCTTGACTCCTCCTCCTTGTCTTCTTCCTCACCCTTTCTCTTCCTCACCTTTTTCCTTCTCTCCATCTTTCTCTTCTGCCTTGCTCCTCCCAAAGCCTCACCTAAATTCTACTCTGGTTTTAGAATGGACAGACAGCATTTACCTACCTGTGACATTCTCTCTCCACAGAGACAGATTGAGTGAGGGGATGGCTGAACTGTTACAGTACACAAAGTCATCGGGATATCGATTCCGTGAGAAGACATCCACTGGGATTCTCTGAATCCTGGTGTTGTCACATATGATTCTGGACAGGGTGACTTTGCTCAGCTCTTCTCTCTGCTGGCTAGTAAACACACCTTCACTTTCCCACCAAAACCTGAGGAGAAAAATACAGATAAGTAAGGTCCAGGACTTGGAATAAAGCACAACTTAGAAAGTAGAATACAATAGATGCTGAAAATCTTAAATAATAAAACCAGAAAGTGCTGGAAGTATTCAGCAGCTCTGACAGCAGTTGTGGAGAGAGAGAGAAGCAGAATGTCTGAGGTGAATGAACTTACATTAGAACTGGGAAAAGTGAGAAATGTTAACAGATTTTGTGCAAGGAGTGGGTGGCATAAGGACAAAGGAAGATCTGTAACAGAGTGCAAGACAGGAGAGATGAAATGACAGAATATTAGTATTATAGAACAAAGGGAATGGTAATGGACAGAAAAAAAGCAGCATAAAATTGACCTGAGAGTATATGCGCTTAAGAGGAAAAACAAAATTACACTTGCTGATACAGTAATTAGAAGCTCAGTTTTATAATGTGTTTAGGACCACTGGAGACATCCACATTTGTTTGATTAAGTCAAATGGTTGCTGGAGAAGTTCAGTCCAATATGTCAGCTGACCTTGTTTTGAAAGGTGCCTGGAATAATGTTTTGCCGTTATGACCCCTTTTCGGAGCTTTACAATAGCTGTGATCCCAGACCTATGGGAGTGGGATAGGGAGTTGTGACACTGGCGAGGGTGATCTGATGGAAATTGGGCCTAGTTGGACTGAAGGAGCCATGGGTTTCATTCACTGAGTTTTTAACTTACAGCACATTCTTCCCTCATGACTTTAAGCAGCATTCAAGGTTCAGCTGGTTATACATAGCTTTTAGCTTTTGCTAGCTTTTAGTAATTGGTCAGACGTCTGTGGTAGTCATTGTTGCCTTGGAGCTCATGACCACAAAATGCCGGCTCATCACCCACTGTTTGGGAAGCCTTACCTCAAAGGTTTGTTTACTTTGTCTCAGTAGGGCTGTCTGAAGTTTTTCCACTTGTTTTGTATATCTATAAATCACTGGAGATTGATAATATTTGTGGTGGGAGTAAGTACCTGATGATTTTGCTTTGAGGGTGCACTATGATTTCTGTTGTCAGGACATTATGGATCTTGAAAATTGATCCTTGTCGTTAAATGTCGGCCCAGTTTCGTGTAATATTTTCAACACGCTGTTTTCTATTGTCATGTTGTTTGTTAGTGGATCCACGGATGAGCATGTCATTCATGTGGCATTAACACCTTCTACATCTTCTAGTGTCTTAAACATTGTCTTTGGAAAGTCCCCAGTGTGGATGTGGTTGCAAAAGTAACACCTTTGAAATAACGATATCTAAAGAGTGTTCTGAGGTTGGCTAAAGTTTGGACTCTTCATCTGTTTGTGAGCATAGCTCGTGTTCACAGATGCCATTGGGTGTATTTCTCCTGATTCTGTCTTGTTCAAATGTGTTAAGGTAATGTAATTTCTAGTAGATCCATCCAGTTTGGGAACTGGCACTATAATGGAGCACCAGATGATGTGGGTTCTGTGACAAGTGAAATAACCTGCTCTGAAGCATCATCTTAATCCCACTTCTCCTTTTATAGAAGTGGTTGTAAACAAACAGATGGGCTTAACATTTACTTTGTGTAGTGTTGCTTGCAGCATTCAGGTTTTCAAGGCTTTGGAAACATTTTGGAAATTGGCATTTTAAATTTATTTCCAGATTCCGGTTTGTTGATTTCATCCTCATTTTCCAATGTAGAAGAAAAGACCTATTGCAGACTTACCTACCTAACTGGTTGTGTGGATAACTAGTTGAATTTCTGAGATTTCTCTGCCTTTTTGCCTTGTAACATCATCTGAACTTAATCTTTTACTTTTTAAGGTTGATTCCTCCTGGACCTTGAAGTTTGCCAGGTGAAAACTGCTGGATAATATTTTGCAACTATTCAAGCCCATCCAACAGAACAATAAGTATCGCTATTGTGTTTAATTTAAAATTGGTACGATATCCATTGAATTCAATATTAGCCCCCTAATATTGTTGTTTATTTTTTGTAATTTTTTTTTCCACATGAAAAGTGATTTCTAGTATAGGGCTTTCTTTAAGAGCTTCTGCCTAATGGTTTATAAACGGAGGCTTTTTGAAATGATCCATTGTTTTAAAACAACTGCTATTGTTGCAGCCATGAGTTTTGATAGTGTTGGTGTAAACATTTTGCCTGTGGGCATCCTGAAACCATGAGAACCTTGCAAAGTGATATTCGGTGCTTTATCAGCATAGTTCCAATGTTGTTCCAGTGTGCTTTTGGTTTTGTTCCTCCCGAGATGTATAATCTTCAAAGCACTTTGTTCTCAGCTTAGCTGTCTGGGGCCATCTACATTTTGGATAGTGGCTGGGTGGTGTAGGGTGAGTTCATTGCTCATCTGAGTTGCAGTCCATGTCTCCCTTGATGCTGCCTAGACTGGTCGCTGGGTTTGCTCGCACGGTTTCCTTCTTGCGAACTTACTGTTGGCCTGGCCTTGAGGTCAATTTGCTGCTACTGCTGGCCTTCTCTGCAGGCTTCTCCTCGCTGCTTACTGCCATTTTCTCTGGATCTGGTCACCAAAGCTCCCCCTTGTTATGTTTCCCTTCTTGTCTTTTTTTCCTCCACCGACCATATGTGGCAGCGGTTTCCAAAGCCGGAATTCAGTACTAGGAATGGTGTAGCATGTCCAGCTTAGAGGGAATGTTGTTGATCACCGTTTTGGAATTTTTATTTTAAAAGGAGTTTTTGACTGAACGAGACTGAGACGGGGATAAACTATTTACTTATGTATTTGGTAATAAGTGTTGAGCTTCTCTGGTGGCTTCTTCCATCAGGTCTCAGACCATGTGATCTGACATCAGCATGACATGATTCCTTCTGCACAGGCTCAGTAGCTTTGAGAACATCAGTACATTTAACCCTTTATAGCATTGATGACTATCAGTGAGCTTAGTTCATCACTAATTAGCCCTAGTGGAATGGATGGGGCTCTAGTGCTAAATATACAGAGAATACATAATCCCTGCAGGAACACAGTTCAAATTCAGGGAGTTCAGGCACCACCGGGAATGTCTGTCACTGAAATTTGGAATTCTTCTCTTCAGCTTCCAAAAATCAAGAAAATTAATGCTTTGAATGATAGGGTGGTTCTTGTTGAATGTATAGATGGGCTGGATGAAGTTTTGCTTTTTAAACTCTGGCAGTATACTTGAATACTTCTGAGAATCTCTAAAACATTGATCTTGGCAACCAGTTTCACAATCATTCCATATATTTTCTGTTATTTTGTTTTGGTGTTGGCTAATTGTTGGATTTAGGCATGTATGGTATGTCCTCTTGCAGACCTTGGATCAAACCAGGAAGCCTATATGTGTAATTTGACTTCGATGCAGCTAGGATGAAAACTAACACATTAACGAGTGTAAAATGTTTAAAAACTTTGCAGGACATTGAAATTAGTCTCTGACTCACTCTAACCTAACCAATCTGCCCTGGCCAAGCACTGGGAATCCCAATACAAACCTGTCTCCATCCCTCAAAACTTGGAATTGCTTTCCAAGAAGGCAGGCCAGGAGTTCTCCAACCCGAGCTCGAGGCAACAATGGCTCAGCTATTGCACCGACCCACGTGTCTATATTGGCAGGTGTCTTGTACACTGATAGGAGCTTCTTGGCCAAGAATGTGCTGTTAAATATTTGTATTAATTCAGAGAGATTTCTGGCTTCCTGTAGTCCACAGAATCGTCTCCAAGAGCCGTAACCTACACAAAAAATAAAGGATATTCAAATTGTTCTTTTGAAAGAGAAAGGAAAGAACTTCCTTCTGTATAATTTCATAGTGGTCTGGAAGCATAATGCTAGTTTCTGGCCTTATCCCTGCTTTGTCAACAATATGTCTCAGGAAGCAAATAGATGCCTGGAAAATTCACATTTGTCATTGAGGGTATGCCTTTTGGCTAGAAAGTGTTTCAAAACCCCTCGATTGTCCCCCATGTATCAGTACGCCATATGATCCCTTCTAAACCTTTTGATTGGAAATAGAGAGTTGGAAGATTTCTAGAGCTGTGATGATCTGAAATGGCAATCTGTTAAAACAAAATCTCTCAAATGATGTGATAAATATTGTAGGTAGCCTTGCTCATCTCAGAACTCGTTGGCATCGGATTTCGTTAACAAAAATACTTTTAGACAATTTGGCTAAGCTCTTATTGACAGTAAACATAGGGTACATTTCCCTCATTACTAATAATGTTATGTTAGGCCAGTATATATTATGCTGGACCCTTTGGGTTTGGGTACAGTAACAATGCCTACACAGCACTTTGTTGGATTGGTCACTAGAATGTGTGGAACTTAATGTAACAAAAACATTAACTCTTTTAGATCCATTACCTTATACAAGAGTTCACGACATTTTTTCAAGTTTTGCTTTGTCTACAGATTTTGAAATTGTGCACTATATGCATCACAGTCCGGATACTTAATATGTTAGGAAGTGCAGGGGTTCCGATGCTGATTCCTGACTACAAACCTCCCGTTAGTCTGAAAAAGGACTGTTCCCCAACTACTCTATTTTTCTGTTGCTCAGCCAATTTTGTATCTATGTTGTTACAATTCCTTAAGTCCCACGAGTTCAAACTTTATTCAGAAGTCTGTCCTACATTACTTTATCAAATACGTTTTGGGAGTCTATATACACAACATTAATGATATTAAGACAATTAACACTCTTGGCCCAGTCTTACCAGAAATTGAATAAGTGTCAACTGTGGCAAGTTTCATGGAGTGTTTCTCTCTTCATGAAGGTGCATGTGGTCACTGCCCATGGAATGTGTTCTGAAATGTTGGTAACTGATGAATGTCTGGAGGAGCAAGCATTGACCTGGAATCACCAGATTACTGCTCTGACTTTCATGTCGAGATTGTTACCATTTAATTTCTGTGGTGGTGGGAGAATGGGAAGCCATACTGAGGAGGTGAGATTACATAATAATGAGGATTTAAGTACAAGTTAATCCATTCAAATAGACCTCCTGCCATTCATCAGCTAGAATCTCATCTTGCCAAACAACACTTGGAAATTCGGACATTTTGCTCTCAATGGTGGGAAGCACTCATTCCCAATCTCATGATTCTCCTACCTTTTTTGCCATAGTTCAGTGTTCATGGGCTGGGAAGATTTTGCTCTCTGTGTTGCCTTTTTAAAAATAACCCGAGCAACCTAAATTAACATGACTTGTCCTTAATATATTGGTGCTGATTTTTCCTAATTATCATTCATTTGCCTATTGGTGATACTTGATTTCAGAAAATTATGGAGCATGCCTCCACAATTTCTACCCGTACTTCCCTCATTAACTTTGAATGCATCTTATGTGATATCTTATATACTTCAAATACTGCACAGGCACTTTACTTAATACCTCCTTTCTTTCAATTCTAAGCCCATTAGGTGTCTACATTGCTTCCTCTTGCACCATAAAGTTTCTTTGGTAAATGCAGATGGAAAGTATTAAATTAGTCCTTCAAATTGTCACTAGCGATTGTGCATAAATTTCCTTTTTAGTCCCTAATCGGTTTTCTTCTCCTTTTACTATCTGGTTGTACTATTTAAATGCTAATAGGAGACATTAGACTGTTGTCATATTGCTGCTGTGGTAGCTTGCTGTGTGCAAACTGACTGTCATATTCACTATTACAACAGCGACCTCACTTCAAACAAGAACTTCATTGCCTGTGAGATTATGAAATGTGTTAAATCCATGTAAAACTTCCTTTTCATACTTACTGTTCCATTGCTATTTACCAAACGTATGATCAAAACTGTATTCACTAGAGTTTGGAAGAATAGAGGTGATCACCTAGAAACTGAAAAGTCCAACAGGGCAGGACTTATACAGTTAATGGTAGGGCCATGGGAAGTGTTATTGAACAGAGAGCTATGTGTGCAGGTGCATAGTTTGTTAAAGGTGGAGTCACAGGGAGACCGGGTAGTGAAAAAGGCGTTTGGTATGTTTGCCTTCATTGATCAGTGCATTGAGCATAGGAGTTGGGATGTCATGTTGCATCACATTGGCGAGGCCACTTTTAGAATACAGTGTACAATTCTGTTGCGCTTCCTATAGGAAGCATATTGTTAAACTTGAGGGTGCAGAAAAGATTTACAAAGATGTTGCCAGGACAGGATGGTTTGAGTTATAAAGAGAGGCTGAATAGGTTGCGGTTTTTATCGCTGGAATATCGGAGGCTGGGGGGTGACCTTTATAGAGGATTATAAAACCATGACGGGTATGGATAGAGGGGATGGCCAAGGCCTTATTCTTAAGGTGGGGGGAGTCCAAAACCAGAGAGCATAGGTTTAAGGTGAGAGGGGAAAGTTTTAAAAGGGACCTAAAGGGCAACTTTTTCACACAGAGGGCAGTGTCGTATGGAATGATCCACTAGAGGAAGTGGTGGAGGCTAGTACAATTACAACATTTAAAAGTCATCTGGATGGGTATATGAATAGGAATGGTTTAGAGGGATAATGGCCAAATGCTGGCAAATGGGACTAAGTCAGATTGGGATGCCTGGTTGGCATGGACGCGTTGGACTGAAAAGTCTGATTGTGTTTTATGACTGTATGGCTATACAGGGTAGATGAAGGAAGCACGTTTCCAATTTAAATGATCAGCCATGATCATAATGAATAGCGGAGCAGGATGAAGGGCTGAATGGCCTACTCCTGCCCCTATTTTCTATGTTTCTATGCTGACCTGTGGTTTGATAGCCCCCAACTTGAAGCACTGTGCATGTATTGTTAAGCTTTAGCATTATCATTGCCCCTCTAATTGCAAGACAAGTCTCTACAAATCCCTTGCTTGAAGGAAGAGTAAGCAATCTATTCTCAGAGTGTTCATTTCACACCCTCTTTACCAGTTAGCCTTGGGGAATGAAGCAGTTTCTGGAGTCTGCACATGTACAGTTAAACGTGGAAATGCAGAAGCAATGTTGGTCATTTTATACTTCTCCAGAGGATAATCTCTGAGGCACCCAAGGACAGCCCAACATCTAAACAGTTTACTGGAATAAGTTGGAAGACAATGTAAAGATGGATGTTGCTTTGCAATGTTATTGTAAAGTTGTTGGACTTGGTCATGCTGTCTGTGAACTTGGTTTATCTGCTGATACTCACTTGGTAGCCCGTGATCTCTCCCTCGCTGGAGATTTAGTGCTGCCAGATCCAATGCTAAGGATTCCTTGGGCTGAAACAACTTTTCTGTCAGCTCTTCTGGCATCATCTGTGTTTGTGTTTGAAGCTTGGCAGAGTTCAGTATAACTCCTCGAATGATAGGGTCAATACCTCCTGCAGTTTAATGCAATACCCTTAGTTGGAGTATCAGGCAGTGAGGATGACACTGAAATAGACACTTGGTTAGAGTTCCAAACAAATTGGCAGATATTTGAGCAGACAAGGTGTAGAGCTGGATGAACACAGCGGGCCAAGCAGCATCAGAGGAGCAGGAAGGCTGACATTTCGTGTCTAGACCTTTCTTCAGAAATGGGGGAGGGGAAGAGGATTCTGAAATAAATGGGGAGAAAGGGGGAGGTGGATAGAAGATGGATAAAGGAGAAGGCAGGTGGAGAGGAGACAGACAGGTCAAGGAGGCAGGGTTGGAGTCAGTAAAGGTGATTGTAGGTGGGGAATAGGTCGGCCCAGGGAGGACGGACAGGTCAAGGAGGCGGGATGAGGCTATTAGGTAGGAGATGGGGGTGGGGCTTGAGGTGGGAGGAGTGGATAGTTGGGAGGACAGGTTAGGGAGGCAGGTATGAGCTGGGCTGGTTTTGGGATGCGGTCGGGGGAGGGGAGATTTTCCGACCCCACTACCAATGACGTTTTTCCTTCCCTACCCTTATCTGCTTTCTGGAGGGACCACTCTCTCCGTGACTCCCTTGTCCGCTCCACACTCCCCTCCAGCTCCAACACACCCGGCACTTTTCCCTGCAACCGCAGGAAGTGCTACACCTGCCCCTGCACCTCCCCCTCACCCCCTCTTTGACCTGTCTGTCTCCTCTCCTCTATCCATCTTCTATCCGCCTCCCCCTCTCTCCCTATTTATTTCAGAATCCCCTTCCCCTCCCCCATTTCTGAAGAAGGGTCTAGACCTGAAACGTCAGCTTTCCTGCTCCTCTGATGCTGCTTGGCCTGCTGTGATCATCCAGCTCTCCACCTTGTTATCTCAGATTCTCCAGTATCGGCAGTTCCTACTATCTCTGCAGATATTTGAGCAGCCCTGGGCTACAGCATAAAGCAACTGGGGGTGGGGGGGAGGCGACAGTGAAACAGCCCCCATGTTAGAGGACTGAACAGTGGGGGTGGCAGTGAAACAGCCCCCATGTTAGAGGATTGAATGGTGGGGGTGAATTTTCCCTTTTTACCTCCTTCTAAAACACAGATGTTAGCAGATCAGGCTCTTATTTCAAACAACATCTGCTGGGGAAATGCCCCCACACCATCATGGCTGTTTGCCAACTAGTGGCAGGAGGCGAAATGGTCTGGCACATGTGGCCTTTTCAACCTCGCCAATTTTGTACCTTCTCTTCAGAAGCGCCTCCGTAATAAGATGTCCTCTTAACTGCATTGGGAATTTCCACTTCAGGTGTTGGGTAAACACTTTCCCTGCATCCTTACCTCTTGGTCACCTCTTGATAAAAATGGTGTCAGGTGACTGACGCTGGTGTGGTGCAGGGTCTGGATTTGGAATAGCATCCAACATCAGGGTTCTAACCCGAAAGAAAACTCCAGCCTGAGAAGTTTGCATACAGGATGAGAAGAGCATTGCATTTGCTGACTAACCCTCTCTGTTCAGATTTACAGATGAACATGACAGTTTGAGTAAAAAAATTACAAATCTGGCAGTGTCTCTGGGACCAAGTGGCAGGTACGCAATAAATCCAACATTAACGGATTTTGCTCCCAGTGCATTGACCTGATTCTATACGTGAACTTGTTAAAATGTGTAACTTTTAGTTGATTTTCTTCTTACCTTCTTCAATAATTCTCCAGGGAGAGAAGAATGATTTGTGCAGAGAGATGCTGGGGTAGGCTGGGCTCTCTCTGTAGTCTTCATTTAGTCGAAACACTGTCGGGTGGATGGTAACGTGAGCAAAACGAAATGCTGCTGTGGCAAATACGTTAGAAATCCGAGGGTCAACTGTTTCATCGTAACCCTTGTAAGGAGGCAGCTGCTGCTTTGTGGCGTCTGGCCCGAGAATTCTAGGTACATATTCCTTCCAGTTTATAACCTATGGGAACAGGAAGGGAAGTTCAAGTCAGATTTCCTTCTCCCACCATTTACCAGCACAAAACGTAGATGCTTAAAACAAAATGGCTTCTCAACATTGTTAATATAGACCCGAAATTCAGTTAGGATTAGTCTTTTGCTGGATCTCCTTCTTTCCTTATGTACTTCAATTTTTTTTATTTGCATTGTCATAATCTCTGTTCTTGCTGACCATTTTTAATCTGTTTACAGGGTGAGTATGTTGCCACTAGGCCAGCATTTGTTGCTCATCCCTAATTGTCCAGGCAGCAGGTAAAAGGCAACCTTATTATTGTGGGGCTGGTGTCACATGTAGACCAGACCAGGTAAAGATGGCAGATTTCCTTCTCTAAAGGACATTTTTAACTTGTATTGACACACCGGCAGGGACACATTACTTATGGTATTATAATGTAATATTTTTAATGCAGAATTATAGATAGCAGAAACTTTTATTATGGATTGGGTAACCAGTGGCATCCTCACTGAATTACACTTGTTTAAACAACATATACAGTTCTACTTTACAGATCAAGTGATAGATGATGCTATGAAAATAGGTCTAAAAATATCAGTGCAATTGCAAGGAGGAGCTTTACAAAGGTAACACTCTGAGTTTCTATTGGTGATCAGAAAGATCCATAAAAACACCTGGAAGGTTCTCCAAAGGCCAGCTCAAAGTAAGAATTAACTTCAGGATTAGCAGGCTTCAACTTAGATAATATAGTTAGGAGCCCCAAGAGTTTCTTGACCAGCTTATTGGAAGATGCCTAAGCATAGGACATGAGTGTGACTCTTCGAAAGAAGAACTCTGAGAGGCTCATTGAGTCATTTAGTCATCTTCTGCAATTAAACCTCTAGAAAGGATCTTCTTGTCAAGAAAAATGGCCATACTATTAATACATTATTTGAGGATAGACGCAAGCATGAAGTTATGGTGACAGGCCAAAAAAATTAAATGCTTTGGGTGCAGCCAGCGCTATTGCAATGGTTAGCAAAGTACACCAAACTAACAAAAGCTGTAACAGATGCAGTTTGCTGCATATACTCAAACTGTAAGAAAAGTGGTATCAAGGTACATTAGGCATGTATTGTAGGAAATCTGGATCCAAAAGCCATGCCAGTTGTCAGCAAGTAACCACTAACCAACAAGATGGAACAACACCACAATAGTGGCATCAAGGGAATTGCTCTTTCCTCCTCTGTCGGTTCTTTTGGAAAAAAATCACACTCATAACTTTTCCTGTGACATGTTGCAGAAGCCTAGTCCGTAGACTCTTGGGTTATTAACTGTATGACTTCAGTGGGAATCTGTTAATCCTGAGTTAATTCTAATTTGATCTGGGTGTCAAAGATGTTTTTGATCTTTTATTTTAAGAAGGTATACCAATGCAAACGTATCACAGGTTCGGAGTCTGCTAAGCAAAAGGCAAATGTTAGAAGATGGTATAAAGTGATCAGAAACTTTTACTACCATTGATATCATATGTCCTGCAAAGGCAGGATAACACACTCACTAAAAGTTAAAATTAATATGGAAACCAATATGTCACCACTATGCAGCCTGAAAGAAGTGCAATGGAGTTCCACTTGCTGAGGTACAACATTTGAAAGGCCATCTCGCAACTTAAATCAGCAATTCTATATTGGCAGAATCACACTGGAGTGCCAGTATACAATCTCACTTTGACATCCTGGTAGATACTTATTGTTGCAAAATTGGGTGGTTTGGAAGGCAGGACATTAGAAGCTGGAGGTTTGTAAAATGCTATTGGGAAAGCAGCGTGTGGTTCCTTTTAAAACACGATGTGCTTTCTCTATGCTGAGATATCCAAAAAGGATGTCTGTGGGTTTATAGGTGCATACAGCAACTGAATTGAAACATTTTTATCAAAGGGCTATACTGTTAGCAGGCGAAGCAGCATTTTTACCAAGACAAGGTATTTTTTTTTTTTTTTTTTTTTTTTTTTTAAAATTTAGCCAAGTAATTTAAACAAGGCCCTTAGATACGAAAAACCAAATAGATTTAAATCTAATGGTTTTGACAACATAGGACCAATTGTATTGTAAGAAATTGATATATCAACAAGGATCTAAAAGATGAGGGCATTTGGAAAATTGGGGGAGAGCCAAGAGAACAGCTTTCAGCTTTAAAAGAAAGAATCTCTGGTATCACGGAATTCTCTAAGCCTTACAGTAGGCTCAATCTAAATTTAAAGGTACCTACAGCACAAGTAGTTAATGTTCCTGACAGGAGAATTCGATGGAGAAGGTGTTCATGACAGAAGGGATCACCAAGAAGGCATTCCTGACAGGAGAATTCATTGAAGACGCAAAACATTCCAGAGGATGTAACCTGGCTGTAATTGCGAGAGACTAAAATCTAATGTTTTAAATTTTATTTTATATAAGTGGGACTTATGTTAATTGGAACAGCATACCAGTACAATCTTGTTTTATTCGGCAATAGTTAGTAGTTATAAGGGGTTTATTTGGTTTGTTAATAGTTTAACAATGAGCAAACTAACTAGAGTTAGATAAATAAATTGTTACTTGTTGATTATAAAGAGAGTGTCAGGGGTTTGATTTTATTTAAACACTCCTTCATAACCAATTGAGCTTAGGATGAGGTGCACCTCTCTGGGTGTTTTGGCTTTAGTTGTCAGATGGGGGTTGACCTCTGCTTTATAACACTATGCAGTGGTAGAGCTTAACGTAAACACAGGTCTCGGGGTGGTCTGAAAGTATTAAAGAAGTACCTAAAAAGATTTGTTCATTTTGGGAATACAAGGGTGAACTTGGTATATCACAAGTATTGATGTACAAGAAGGCTAGCATTTGGTGGTGGGCTGAATCAGGATATCCCATGATTCAATGCATGTGAAGGACACCAAATAGAGTCATACAGCACAGAACGGGCCCTTCAGGCCAGTTTGTCCATGCTCAAAAGGTTTCTTAATCTGAAATCATAGAATCCCTACAGCGTGGAAGCAGGCCATTTGGCTCATCAACTCTATACAGCAACCCATCCTTGCATTTCCCACTCTCTACACTATGGGCAATTTAGCATAGCCAATCCACCTAACCTGCACCTCTTTGGACTGTGGGAGGAAACTGGAGCACCCGGAGGAAACCCATTCTGAATTGGAGAGAATGTGCAAGCTCCACGCAGACATTCGTCCTAGGGTGGAATTGAACTTGGGTCCCTGGCGCTGTGAGGTAATAGTGCTAACCATTGAGCCACTATGCCACCCAACTAGTCCCATTTGCCTGTGTTTAGCCCATATTCCTCTAAACCGTTCCTATTCGTGTACCTGTCCAAATGTCTTTTAAATATTTGCAATTGTATCCACTGCGACCACTTCCTCTGGGAGATGTTCAACCCAGCAATGGAGGAGACGTCTACATCTGCACAATATTCCATCCAATCCTTAGACTAAAACAGCAACAAATCAATCCCCAATGCACGGGGAAGATTACATCTTTGTGACATTTCTCTAACTTTCTCAATGTTTGACAACTTAGCAACAATAAGCATCACTGTTGCTGACATGTTGAATGCTATTTTCGGCATAATCACTGGCCTAGATTAGTGTGTGTCTGGCAATAGACTGCAATGCCCTGGCATACCATTTCCAGACACACACAATAAGTGGGAAGTGACCCCATATTATGACATCGCCCCACCATCCACACACAAATAGCACAGCAAATGATATGTGCTATCAAATAAATAGTCATTAATTATTGAGCAACAAAGCAAGACTTTCACACTACATTGCTGAGTTTTCATGCAACCTCAATTGAAAAGGGAATTCCATCACAGGCCTGCAAAGACGAGTATGAACAACTTTACCCAGCAGCCATTTGTCCAAACAGTCTGTGAGAGAGGACATTCTTCTTCAAAGACAGGGGAGAATGAAAGGGATACACAATGAGTGAACAGGTGGAGAACTACCAGATTGCACATCAGACAGAGAATGCAAGTTATAAATACAAATATGAATTCTTGCATATCTGCAAATGTTTCTGAAATGTGCAACCAGCCCAGGTCATACAAAATGATTACTGGTCATGATTCTACAGTGAAGGAAACTAGCTCAGACTATTAAACTGCAAATCATTCACACACAAAAAAGGGGAAAAATACTCGATGATGATAATAGTTCAGTGATGCTGAGCATTAGAAACTAAAATCGAGACAGCTGAATTCACAGACAACTGCAACGGAGAACATTGCATACCTCTCCAGATGGGTATCGTGGTTGTTAGGATGAATTATCAGACCTCCAAGTTGTTACACTCAAGTTTGAAATATTAGTCTTCTAAACTATATTTTGCCTGTTCATATAACTAGAATATCAGACAATGCGGGTGATACAGAAACAGACCCTGGGTTAAAGTATGGGACAGTGAGGTAATGAAATAGTGTTTAAAGATGCATTCACTGATCTTGACCTCTCACACAAGTTCATTACAATATTTCACTTCTCATCCAGTTTGTTGCAGGTATTGGCTGTTTTGTCACTGCCTTGGCAGTATGTGTTGTGAGCGCCTCCTCACTTCCAGGTGGGAAGTAGTCCCCTCTCCTCCATTGCACTTCTTGCACCAAGGTGTCCAGTACGTGCATCAGAGAAACTTGGTCTAACCATTTGGCTGGTTCCACCATTTTTCAACATTCCAACTGCTTAATAACTTACACCACTTCCAGCTCTTAATGCCACCTTGCCTTTAAGAGGTGGTAGCTGTTAGTGTGTTTTCACAAAATTACACATACCTAAAAATAAGACAGGATATTCAGCCCGTCATCATTAATCTATAGTTAAAAAGGGAGGTCCCAAGATTAATGACAATAAGAACATGATTTTTAGTAACGACAAATGGCTTTACAAATCCCTATAGGGAAGCTCTAGAATCTGATAGGCATTTGTACTGTCCTCATTTATGGTGTACACTCCTACTTTTCATTCATGGAATGTGGATGTTACTGGCAAGGCCAGCATTTATTGGCCACCTTTAATCATCCTTGAGAAGGTGGTGATGAGCTATGTTTTGAATCTGCTCTGGTCCTTGTGATGAAGTGCCACAGTGCTCTTAGGGAGGCAGTTTTAGGATTTTGACCCAGTGATAGTGAGGGATGTATTAACACCTCAGGATAGTGTGTGGTTTAGAGGGGAACTTGCACGTATTGGTGTCCCAATGTATCTGTTGCCCTAGTTATTCAAGATGGTTGATGTTGTGGGTTTGGAAAGTACTGTTGTAGAAGCCTTAGCAAATTGCTGCAGTGCATTTGTACATACTACTTCTGCTGTATACTATTGATGGAGGGAATGAATATTTAAGGTAGTCAATGGATCAGAAGGAATGCTTCGTCCAGAATGGTGTTGAACCTCTTGTGTTGTTGGGGTTGCATTCATCCAGGCAGGTGGAGAGTTTTCCATCACACTGCTGACCTGTGCGAGGTGGATGAATAATCACAAATATATAAAGAAAATACTTGGCAGGTGTTGAGTGGAACATTTTGCAACATGTCATAGGAAAACAAGCCTGTGCATAAGAGTTCTTAGCCCCTTTTATGGAGCTATACTTGAGAGAGAGAGTTTTTGTGGTATCCTTTTTCCTTTTCTTTTGTAGTATGTTGTAATTATCACTTGTGTGGCTTCTTAATTTTCAATATTACTTGTGATAAAATTCACACCATTGTGGTTTTTAGGTGAAAATTCTC